CGCCGGCGTCGCCGCGTCCCTCTAGGGCCGACGCGTCGGACAACTCTGCCGCGGCGAATTCTTGTGCTGTGTTGTAAAACTTTCTAGATCGACGTAATTTAGTTTATACACCTTGTATACACGCAATCTACGATATACGTAAATAAACGATAATTAACGAATACGTAATTAATGTATAAACGACGACGACTTACGACGACGACGAATGACTGTGACGACGAGAAGAGGAAGTATTTAGAGACAAATGAATAAAAATGAAAAAAAAATTATATAGATTATATATATATGTACACATATATGTATAATAAGAGGTAAATCTAAAGATCTCACGGGTACGAAGAAGGTGTTCTTCCGACCCGTTCTCACGTTAACGGAAGAAACGAGCGAAATGATCGTGAAAAGATAAATAAAGAAAAAAAAAAAATAATAAGAATGGGAGATATGTGGAACTGATATACGTAATACATGGTCCAGCTCGCGCACGCGCATCGATTGAGCACCGGCCGGCCTTTCTTTCTCGAGAGATTTATTTATGTATAACTTTTTGTCACGAGGAGCAACGAACTGTGAAAAACGGAAGATCGTCGACGATCGCTCGCTGTCTCTTGTGAACGGTTCTTCTTTTTTTTGTTTTTTGTTGCTTGGGCGAGTGGGAGTAGGGAGAGGAAGCCCCGAAACCCGCACGTTTACGGTCAGGGGTCGTGATTCTAAATTGCTCGGGCAAATTGGCGTCAATTAAGCTCGATAACCCGTCGAGGGGCTTCTTCGCCATCGTAGCCGGTACGGGTTTTCGTGAAAGTTTCAGGGAAAGAGGAACACCGACGATAAATAACGAACCGTCATCGGTCCTCGTCTTGATCTACTTAACCTCTTTTATTTTTATGCTGAGTTGGAAAACTGTTTCGGTTCAAACAAACTTATCGTTTACATTGAAAACCACTTTGGACGGGATCCACGGAAGTTGGGGATCTATCTTGTTATTATAGTTTGTATTACCGCGGCCAAAATAGTATGGCACTGGGGCTTTTTGGTTCTATGATGGCCTGCTGCACGTCCAAATGGTATTTGCCAATGAGCAGACCATCAATCTCAGAATTCTCAAATATGAAATTTGTTAAGTTGTAAACTTGCGAAAGTTTTCAATTTGAGAATTTTTGTAGCTGAAAATTTTCAATTTGAAAAGTTACAAATCAGTGAACTCCTCTTTAAATATGTATAAGTTCACATTACAAATTATACATAATTATATTAAATATATGAAAGCTTGCCTAAAAAATCCCAGTACTTATATTTATTATACTTAAAAAGAAGTAACTGAAAAATTTTTTCATAATTCTAAAATGCATGGCAGGATTCTATGTTCTGAAAAGCCCTGACAGCCATTTGGTTAAGCGAACGCAATGTACTTCGATTCTTATATCTCCATCGTACATTCATCGAACTGTCAACCACACGCATTTTTAGTTCCACGTTTCCCCGTCAACAGTTCTACCTGTCAATGCAAAATTAATTCCTACTTGTTCCGTCGATTCAAAGATGCAGATAACGTATCGCGTTGATTAGCATGCTTTCTCTTATTCTCGCCCGGTATCGGGCCCTTGAAATATCGATCACGATTCATAACGGTCACACACGTCGATTCACCTCGCACACGATTCGGTGATTTCCTATTTTTGCGGGGCTCGCGGTCGGTAAGCAAGACACGCGTTAATATTCTGGCTACATTAATCAGCGATAGCATCTATGTAGGCCAGATATACCGAGGCGTAGGGTGCGGCTTTCGAGACAAAGGAAGTATTTATTGGCCTTGCATCACACTACCAAGCCGATTACGACACATCGGGGTCCACCGTGCAGGCAAAATTTCACGCACAAATGCCTGTCTGACAAACCGTTTTCCACGCACTTTTCGAGCCTGCCAACGGTTGCCAATATTAATACCTGTCGAACGTTTGATCGCTGAGCTATAATCTAACTGAAGTGTGAACTCCTGCAGAACTGGGCTACTTCTGATCGAAGGGTATATTTAACTACCAGACGTGTTGTGTAACGAATGTACTTTATTGTGTATTTTACTAATTGCTCGACTTAGTAATTACTGTTCTTTTGTAGACTTGAGATTTACATACTTGCATTCAGAGTTAGCAGTGGTTTTTGGTATTGACTCATTGTCAGGTGCAAGGTGGAATTTTTAAAAGACCACAAGCCACCATTTTTGTATTTGTCTATATTGTTCACTTGAGGATGCAGAAGACCTTATACTGATCTGTCACAAATAACTTTTTGTTACACTGATTTGTTACTAAAATTTGTTTCATTCGTGCACTTCTTAATTCTTCCAAATTTTATATCAGAAAAAGATCTATATCTTGATGCAAATGACATGACAAATAGAGAGATCTGTATTATGCACCGCCATCTTTCCTACGTAAATCTGTTACGTTACTATGTTTGGTGCAGGTATCTGTCGAACAATCTAACCCAGCTTAATTCAGACTTCAGTTAAATTACAGTTCAGTCTCTGTGTCTGGTAAAAGGGTGTTCACATTGTTATGTCTCAATTCTTGCATCGCGTTCTCGGTAGAAAGTGCAAATCGATGTCGATGATTTTTCCCCGATTCAAGGTTCAGTTCGTTACGCGCAAAGCGAGAAATTCATTCAATCTCGGCTAGCGAATTTATCATCGGTATTTCTCTTGCAAGCGATCGTACGCAACACGCGGAGGTAAAAAAAATTAATTGTGCAATAATCGCGTGGCTAACCACGATTTAGTTAACTGACCGCCGATGGAATGCAATCGAACGAAGGACAAAGAAAGAAAGAAAAAATGGAAATAAATCGGTGTAGGGTCAAGGGGGAGGAAGTTACGGCGAGCGATCGCCGTGAACACCAATTATAGCTTAAAATGAACAAAAATTTTGTATCCATTGGATAGCGAGCTAAGTATTGCGTGTAGAAACAGATTTGGTTGTACGATTGGCGCTGCTACATTTTTTCTCAACACTTATTAATTACGAGATGCGTAAAATTGCGAATTTAAAAATTCCAGGAGGCCCTAAAAATTTTAAACTTTTGTAAATTTCTAAATTTGGAAACTTGGAAGAATGTACAGTTGTAGATTTGGAAATTTGATAACTAATTCGAAGATTTGTTTCTACACCTAATACGTACTAATATAGAGTATATATGTGTATAAATGCGGTGAAACTGACGAGGGGAAATAAAGAAAAAAAAGGGATTCCTAGCGTGATCTGGAATGTGTAAAATGCAAAATTATATATTTTATCTCTACTCTTATATAGTCGCGTAAAAATTGACGGATATATAATTCGAAGAGAGAAACAAAGGAAAGAAAAAGGGATAAAACGAAGGGGTTGTATATGTAGAGTTAAAAGCGACGAAGAGACGAAGAGGGATTGTCGAAGAGAAAAAAAGGTGAACAAGAAGAAGAACAGCGCGTATGTACGAAGTGAGTCACTAAGATAGCGTTTAATCGATAAGGTTTACGTCTAAAGCCTAAGTCTTAAGATGATAATTGAATAGAATTAAGGAAACGGGCATGTCGGTTGCAGCGAGCGGGGGCGGTGGTTCTAGAAAAGTAATTTAATGATTGGAAAATAGAATGGGCAAGGTTATGTGTACCATGGGCAATGCGCAATTAAAATATTTGTGGGGTTTGCGATCATGTATATAGTCAATGTGTCTATTTGGGGAGCTCGCAAACACCACTTATGAGATAAAACGGTGACGATTGGCAACTTTCTCAAATCGATAAAAATCGATATAATTCTCAGTGGATTACATTGGTCATTTCACTCGAAAATTGGGCATTCGTAGTAGGTGGTTATGAGTTCAAAAATGGTAGATAAGAAATGGAGTTTGAACTTTCAGGGAAACTAACATAATTTTAATTTGATATTCCCATTTGCAGAGACTCATTTTTGGAATGTTGTTATTTTTAATAAAAATAAGGATACGAAGATGTATTTTTGGAAAGTAATCTGAAAAAATATATTCGAATTCATGGATTTTTAAATTTAATATTGCAATTCTTCAAAGCTAGTAAAACATACAAATTTAATTCCGTCAAAATTTCTCCTTTGTTTCTTAGAATATAAAGATCTATCATGTATCTAAATATCTAAAAAAAAGTTCAAATTCATCGATACATCTATGTCTAAAATGGCCCCTCCAAATGGAAATACTAATCTACTAAAGTTTGATTAATTAAATAAATTTGATGCATTTACAAATTTTG